ACGGAGTTTCGCTCTTGTTGCCCAGGCTGGAGTGCAATGGCGCAATCTCGGCTCACCGCAACCTCCGCCTCCTGGGTTCAGGCAATTCTCCTGCCCCAGCCTCCTGAGTAGCTGGGATTACAGGCACGCCCCACCATGCCCAGCTGATTTTTTGTATTTTTAGTAGAGACGGGGTTTCACCATGTTGACCAGGATGGTCTCGATCTCTTGACCTCGTGATCCACCCGCCTCGGGCTCCCGAAGTGCTGGGATTACAGACGTGAGCCACCGCGCCCGGCCGATAATTTCTTTTTAGAAAGATGGCTCCCGATTGATATTCTTATAAGTTAAATACTAAAGCTTTTGAATATAAATGTATTTAATCCCAACTAGACCTTTTCTAGAATCTTCTGAAGCATGACATTGTAGACATCGGAAAGATGGTTTACGTTTACCATTCCTCAGTCCACTTTGAATCTGCATGGAGAGCTTGCACAGTGGGGGCATTTATTTGAAAACAATTAGTACTCCATTAGGGGAAACATGAAGCCTGCAGGTCTCGGATGTTCTTGACTGCTTTGGGAACTTGGCGTGTAGAAAGTTGGTAAATTAATACTCCATGGAAGAGAGTTCTTTAGTTTAAAACATGTTGTCTATCATGTGACTCCCAGCTGCCAGTACTATTGTTATTTAAAGTGGACATTTTCATGTCAGTGCATTCTCTATGTGCATAGGGAATCCATTTACCGACAGAGAGATGAAAAGCTGATAGTTAGCAAGTTTGTACATCAAAGATAGGGTGTTGATATAATGGTCCAGATAATCTTACACTTGAAGAAGGGCCAGGAGTGGAAAGTGATCTAACACAAAAAAGCATTAGCGCCCTGAATTTTACATTGATTCTCCCTTATTTCAGCCCCAGAGCAACTCTCTGAATCAGATGATGTTGATAACTCCATTCTTAAGGCAAGGCACCAGGAAGTTAAATAACCTGTCAGTTGTCACAAAGCCACACTATATGACAGAATCAGGAGTTAAGCTCAGGAATTATTCTAGGGGGAGAAATGCAAGGAAGTAAAAGAGAAAAGGCCTATGTTGTCTTGCAATTTGTATTTAGATAAAACCTGGTAAAATAATGTGGATAGCTTTGAAAGAAAGTGGAAAGAGACATACATATATATTCTCCTTTTTAAATATAATTTTTATCAATTTCTATCTCAGCATACTATAACATTTTCCATCATTCACAAAGCAAGAAGCCTGGGAAAACTGCTGGGTTTTTCTATACCTGGGGAAGACCATATACAAGTTGCTCATGAAAGGTGTAGCTGTGATAGCTCCCTGATAATTCACACCACAGAGGCATTGACCCAGCTGGAAATGCAATGCATTATATAGAAATCAGCTGGCCCCTACCTGATAAAATATATGTTAATGGGGATCTATAACTCCAAGGAGAGTGCCTGGTGTATACTACACACTCAGCATATTGGCAGGTTCTGAACCTACAGCAATATAAAACCAACAACTTTGTATTGTACTGAAGTATCTAATGAACTCTGCATTTGTTGTTAGATTTTCTAATTGAATTTATTTAGGGTAGTGATTTTTAGCCATTTCCCGCCTGGGAAGTTATGCAGGGGAAAGACGGTACACAGGGGGCAATGGTGTGTGTGGGGGGAGTGGACTTTGCCATCCACGCTAGATTATGTTACAGCAGGTGGGCTAGTTATGATACACGTGACATTTCTAATGCTGTGCTTGCATATTTTGAATATTTAATTTTGATATCAGGTTCTATGATACATCAGGGATCTAAGTGATTTATTTGAAACAATTCATCACATTATACTTAAAAGATTCAGACTCTTTATGATTTTTTTAAAATGAGAAAAGATCCCCTGTGTTCTATGACTATCAGAATTGAAGGTGACACAATATCTGAAAAGAAAAAAAATTGTTATAGGTCTCAGAGAGATGCATCACAAAAGAATTTAATTCCTAATTTGATAGAAATGGAAAGAATCTGATTCTCTGATGATAAATCTTGAATCAGCTAGAGGCTGATTAATATACATAGAAGTAAGAGCAACTAAAAAGTGTTTCAACAGAAGCAGAAGACCTGGGGTTTATGTTGAAGATTCTGATTATGTCCTCTAATGGTTCTGAAACATGACTAGGAATGCCATTTATTTATTTGTTTCTTCGGTCACTGATTCATTCATATGTATTCTGAGGTTGGGTCTTTTTTTTTTTTGGAGACAGACAGGTTCTTGCTCTGTTGCCGAGGCTGGAGTGCAGTGGAGCGATCATAGTTCACTGCAACCTCAACCTCCTGGACTCAAGTGATCCTCCCACCTCAGCCTCACACGTAGCTGGGACTATAGGCACACACCATCATGCCTGGCTAATTTTTAAATTTTTTGTAGAGTTGGGGTCTTGCTATGTTGCCTAGGCTGATTTTGAACTCCTGGGCTGGGGGGGGGGGTCTTAAAGGTGCGCTGTTCATATTCTAGCGTAGTAATTGTGTTTTTAGTCACTGGTGTCACAGAAGTGCCACCTGCCTGTTGTTCTGATTGTACTGTTGCCATTTGCCTATTTGCTAATGGTTTGCTACAGTTGAAACAGGGTGTGATTTGGTCTAGTTCCCAGCTCTCAGAGACCACAGGAAACACGGACAGGTACCTGCTTGATCCTCCCAAGCTGCAGACATTCCTGGGCGTGTGTTGGGCAGTACATACTGTATTTCCTGTGCCGTGCCCACAGCCAGCTGTCAGGCCCTCACCCCTGAGGGCTTCGGGGGGATACATGGGACAAGTTTGTTGACTTGGGCTCAAGGTCAAGTAGTCTATTTTAGAAACCCTAGGAGACTTAATTTAAAGAATATTAAAAGGTCTCATAAAAGAGGTTTATAAGGTTGGCTAGCAGTTGATTTGTTATGAGATGGAAGAGTCATACATTATCTTGGTATTTAATCAGTTAATAAATTGTTTCAATATGGTATATCCTTTTTTCTTAAAACAGTTTTCTCCTAATAGCAAAGGATGCCAAGATTATTGCAATCTTTGGTAATCTCCTGTGAAATATGCCTTTGCATTTCTTTTCATGAGTTTCCACCCTTCCCAGTATCAAGAAACAACAGAGGAGGGGGAAAAAAAACATTCAGGGAAAATCACCAAATGCAGAGTTGGGAATCAAATTGAGATTTTCGGGCTGTAAGTACAGAATACCATTTTGGCATTATAAATTGCCAACTAGATATTTAATAGCTTATCACTAAGAGCTTGAGATTCTGGCTCCAGTTTTGAGACTCACATATGCCCAAGCCAACTGTTTGTTAGGGAGCGACCCCTAAGGTGCACATGTATTATTGATTTATTTACAAAAAACCTCATTCCATAAAGGAAATAAAGTGGTCTGCAACAATAACATATACAATATAATAATGGTAAAATGTCAGGTCGGGAACCAAAAGATAAAGATCAGGATACAAGGCTGATACAAGCTTAACCAAAGGACTTCAAATGTGTTATGAGGGCTCAGACAGCTGTTACAATTCAGCCTCACGTCTGGAAGCAAGCCAAACTGAATCCAAGTGTGAAGGGGGCCAAGAGACAAAAAGTAAGATGCACAGAGCTTTCTCTGATGAAACATTTTATCTCTGAGTGTTCAGAATTTTCATTGCTCCTTAAATCACTCATTTCACTGCACACTAGACAGCAAAATAGTTTAATCCCATTAATTTGTCTCTATATCAAATCACCATTAGTGTTAGAGAAAGGGCCCTAAGTAGGTAAGTTTTGCTGGCCAGGGAAGGTAGGGCCAGGAGCTTAGCATCTGGAAGCTACAATCCAGGCAGGCAACCCGAAAGCCTTGGAACCTGGGCAGGGAGATGGAAGTGTGAAGCTGAGGAGCTCCACTGACTAATGTGATCTACGTCACACAGGACTAGCATTGGTCCTGGTGTAATTGATTGCAAAGTAAAAGTAAGGAAAGGATTTCTGATTGCTTTGTAGAGAAAAATATACTCTTAGTTCTAAGAAAAGAAAGTGGTCAAGTGATGCTCTCTTTCTACATAGGAAGATATGGAAAACTTTTATTTGATGTTAGCTATAATAGGATCATTCTAACAAGGCCAAGTTAAGACTCAGGGAAGCAAAGAATCAGGTGAGCATGATTTTATTTCCCAGTGATATCGCTTGGCTCTGTGTCCCCACCCAAATCTCATTTCAAATTGTAATCCCCATTCATGGAGGGAGAGACCTTTAATCCCCACCTGTCAAGGGAGGGAGGTGATTAGATCTTGGCGGTGGTTTACCCCATGCTGTTCTTATGATAGTGAATGAATTCTCATGAGACCTGATGGTTTTATAAGGGGCTCTTTCCCCTTCACTTTCTCCTCTCTCTCCTGCTACCAAGTGAGACATGCCTACTTCCCCTTTTGCCATGACTGTAAGTTTTCGAGGCCTC